CTCCTCCTCCTCCTCCTCCTCCTCCTCCTCCTCCTCCTCCTCCTCCTTTTCCTCCTCCTTCTCCTTCTTATACATAGTATACTGACTCCGCTATTTCTAAAAACGTAACGCAATCGTGGCGACGTATGCGAGGAGCGCGCCAGAGAAACCACGAGTGAGAAGGCGCGACGCACGAACAGCGAGTTGTATTAATTACGAGATAATTGTGCGAAAAATAAAAAGGCAAAGTGATATAATAGTGAATAATTGAAAAATCAGCGTTAACGTTGTGCAAAACCAAAACGTGAAAGGACTACTGTTGTTTTGAATCTTAATTGCAACGTCGTCTGTCTCTTGCTCGTTTACGTTTAACGATCACTTTTTCTTTCCGTTTCCCTCTCTTTGCAATACCTTTTTTGTTTTTGTATCTTTTTCTATTTTCGCGTGACCGCCATAGGAGTAATCAAGTAATTGCGATGTGTGATAATACTAACACGACGACGCAGAGTATAGCGGACTACCTGTCACAGTTACTAAAAGATCGAAAGCAGTTAGCTGCTTTCCCTAATGTCTTCATACATGTAGAGCGCCTACTAGACGAAGGTAAGCAACCATTAATCCACTAATATCTTCTGTACCTTCGGTAATGCATCATTTCACTCGCGACACGCCTTACTTTGGTTGCATGATTAACGCCCACAGCGATTCATACTTGGAGTTCGGTCCAAGCATGTTCTACATGCCTGTGAAACTTTCGCCATAGTTTCTGAGATCTTACGGATTTCGCTACGGCATTCGCGCACGCGAAAAAAATACGCAACGTCGCTTCGCGTCGTGTCGAGGAACGCTGTTCATGCCTGAGATACCGGTTCTTGTTACCTCGTAGTTTCCCATAATCGGCAACGAACTGCTCGCAAACATCGTATCTCGATCATGTGTCACGTGTTACGCGTCCCGGTCTGCTCTTCGTGTCTTCGAGCCTGCCGTTCACTTTATTTTTCCAATTTTCTACGTCGGAGCGAGAAGGACAGGAAATTAACTTATACAATGTAAGTTGATCAAAGTAACTTACAATTTCATGTGACTTACGATCCATATACATAACTGATCGATTCTACTAATCTTGACATAATTCGATTTAGTCTATTCGGCATTCCGCCAGCCTGGCTCAGAATTATTGCATACGGCTGAGGAAACAAGATATGAAATAACGGGTGGGGAAACTGTCATTCTGAAAATCAACTATACAAATCTACTAATGTCACGGATTATGGAAAATTCGTAGTACACAGTTTGCTCACGCCCGTATTTTATGTTTGCGTTTCTCCTGCTCGTTAATATGTGTTTTCTCTATAATCTGCTTCACTCGTATCAACCATTCTGGAGAATAGTTTTTCACTCTCTATTTTTAGACAGTCTTGTGCGTGCGTCACGTACGTGTATGCACTGTACACATGCAGACTTTACGACACGTTTACGGTGCTTTCAGTTTTTTTCTAGACAAGAAACCTATTTCGTAAATTTTCATATAAAATCTAGTAAAATGTTTAATATATCGCCGCTCTATGTAGTTCTCAACTATTCTGTCTCCACTACTTTGTAAACTGAGAAAACCCAGTCTAAAGTTTATGATGTTTATATTATTGTGCGGTGTTAGGGCTTAACAGAACTAAATATTTATTGTTTTCTAACTGGAATTTTTATTGTATTATCACCAAATTGTATTCTTTATAATAATGAGACATACGTACTTATATGAATTAATCAATTCCTTGTTTTCTTGAAAAATGGAGTTAGGACTAATTACGAACCAGGGCGACGATATATTAAATTTATCTTGTGCATTGTACATTTGAGTATTATTATATGTCATTGGGAAACAAGAAAAGTTCGCAAATTAAAGTTAGTAATTCAGAAGATGAAGAAAGAGATATATGTAATATCCTGAATGCAGAAAGTTTTAAGCATCCAGTCTACACATGAATTATTTCCTATTTTTTGTTTGTAAATTCTGTCTCTAAATTCTATTATCACTTTATATGCGCGATTTTGTGATATATACTTGTTCCAATATATGAACCACTTAAAAGGGAAACTGATCAATTTGGCTTTTTGCAAATGTCAATTTTCATTATTCGGATTATTATTACGTTCAATTCTCAAGTAGTAAATGACTTAATTTCATAAGCTCATTTTGCTCATGGGCATGGCGTAAATAATATTATCTACGCTCTAAGGCAAATTTTTAAAAATTACGTTCATAATTCTAATTGTCAACTTTCATAGTTAAACAATGGTGGCTTCAAGATCATTCATATTCATATATGTATTTTTTGTTCTTTCGTACAATGTAATTTCAGAATATGTATATCATATATAGGGTTTGTGTTGAAAACTTGGCATATTGTATTTTTGACTTCTCTTTAAATTACTGAAGCATGAGTCACGTGGAAATACATATAATTTAATAGCACTGTTATTACAATAAAGCACGAATTATAAAGTAAAATATATATTTTTTGTATATCTGGTTAAATTATTATTTGGTTTCTTTACGAATTAATTTATTTTAAGTACCTAAAACTTGAACAAAAACCATACTTTGGAAATAATACCTTCTAATTATGAAATATCATTTTATGAAAGAGCTACTATTTATATATTTTCTAAAATACTTTAATATCTTTCGAAATATGTTTGTCAATATTTATTTCATGTTTTTAGCATTTTTACTATATGTGTCATTTTGCTATGTATACGCAAACATATTCGCAGTGAACCTAATTGAATAATTTAATACACAAGAAGTCATAAAATGATTTTTCTATCGTGACTTATTGACAGTAGTAAAATTATACTTAATACGAGCATTTAACTCTCGGAAGGGAAATACATAACCTATATCTAAAGAGCATATTATTACTGCATCGAAACAATCATTTACTATATATGTATTTATGGTTAAAGGGTATATATATTTATTTTTATACTATAATTATATAATAATTATATAATTGGTAATATTCGTATTTATTTAACACAACTCATAATGATTAGTGTTTAAAAGTAACTTTGTAAATAATAGTTCTGGTAGTGTCTACAATCATAGATTCCTATTATTTGTGATTGTAACTTGTATTTGCATTTGTAAATAACAGATACATAGTTACTTCGTAGTATGTGATTTACATATAGAAAAATAATAAATTTAAAAGTAATTTTTGTCATTTTTGCAACTAAATACGTGTTATTTTAATAACTATAATAAAGTTCTAAATGTATTATTTTAGTAACTATAACAAATAAATGTATGCATAGATTTTTTTACTCAATATTTGGAAAATCAGGTGAAAGCTTCTCTGTTATTTTTGATTTGCTTGAAAATAACATTATTTAAAGCGTATGTGCATTTTAGTCGTCTATACTGTTTCACAGGAAATGTGTCAAATGACGTTTACGACAAGAACCGGTTTTGCGAAAGCTCTCTGATCTCGCGCATTCCTACAAGGATATAGTCCTGTTGATGCAAAGAAATTCATTTTATTCTTCTCTTCTTCGATTAAATTTAGTATGATATTTCATTGATTAATGTTCAAAATTCAGTTTTATGCATTTGTTATTCCTTATATTGATTCATACTTCATACATATCTTAAGTATTATACGAGTATATCAATTCATAAACGAGAAACCTTTCGTCGATAATTTTGTTCATATATTGTGCTTGTGATATAAGTATACTCGTTATGTTAACTAAATTATATTATTAAAAAAAAATCGACAAACAACGCCTTGCTAACAGCCTCAGAATATTAGAGCCTTTAGCAAAAATTAGGATATTATATATCCTTATATTATTATATATTGTCTTGTTTTAACACAAGAAGTTATCGCTAATATCTTTGACAGTTGGTGCGACTTTAAGTAATACAACATCAACTCCAATTAACAGGATTAGAAAATCTGGTAATACGTACATGATTTTGACGCATCTATCTGTGCTCTGGTGTACGACGCCTTCAGACGAAAGTACGGTTTGCATTGCACGCAGTTAGTCTTCTGTTACATTCTAAACGATCTTTTCGACAAGGATTTTAACGTATAAGGAGCTTCTCTCCGACCTAAACTTCTCTTGCCTGTTAAAAGTTGGACTAGCTTACAATTGAGGACGGACATGTAGTATTAAACGTAGTGAAAGAAAATTAGCGAAAAATTGAAGAGAACAAACATGTCATAACACGTTATGATGTAGACCTGGAGTCTCTGCACAATGTTGTTCATCGTAATGCATAGTTCATGATGGCTCAACCGTATTGCAATCGTGTTCGAAAGATCTATTTCGAACACGACGTAGCAAGTTTTCTCGGTGACCTAGTGGCGTGAATAGAACTCGTTGTCAAGCGCGTCCTTTCGAAACTGTCTAGCGAAAACTTGGACAGACACGAGGTCTAGTTTTCTTCTGCTACTAGGTCGTTGTGCTTAATCATTTCAAATGGAAACGTATGAAATCATACACGGTCTCAAATATAATAGATTGATTAGTGTCGTATCACATCTCACGGAACAATTCATACATACTTCAAGGAAATCGAGCTTTTCCTATCTATATGTATACTGATAATCTCATTTAGATCAAACATATCTATCTAGATTTTAATGAAGTATGTAAGTCAGATATAAACATTAAAACAATGCATTAAGAATAATTTCGTCAATCTTCATTTGCTTTTTGTTCATTTTTAAGTAACGATTTAATTTCAGTAATGATTATAAAGGGCACTGCTATATTTTGCTATTGCATCTTCGATCAATATCTTTTCGCGTAAAATACATTCACATAAAACCTTTCAAGCAAGTGAGAAGCGATAGTTTTAGAGATTAACAATGGTGTGTACTTACATATATTGAGGTCGATTATACCAATAATATTTTCATATTTTTGGAATTTTTGTTCCGTTTAAAGCTTGTCGATAAGTAAGCTTCCAGTAAACTTACATATTTCACATTCTCATTTTCACTATTCGTTCTCTCCGGTAACTGTTTCCCTGTTATTCAATTTCTTGCTTGCACTTGACCTGATCTGTTTACAAGTATTCAAAACATTAAAACACGACCATAATCTGCCAGAATATGTTACAAATGTAAATAGTCTACTTATATGTATTTCTAAGGACTGCTACTACTAACAATTACTAAATGTAGTAGTGAAGAACTTCCAATGTTTTCAATAAATGTATTAAAGAATTTATTACATCCTAATTTATGTTTAACTTTTTGTGTAATGAAATTTTATGAAATTGTCCTTATATTTGATCAAATTTTTTTTTGCATGCGGATTGCATAGTACCTATATTTGCGCTCATTACTATTAATGAAATTGACATAAAGTTTAACGAATAACACTGTAATATCCGGTTGATTTGATTTTCAATATGCATAGATTTTTGGTATAATCTAAATAAATAGGTATATGTGTAATGTTTCCAAGGTTGATATACGACATTTATACTTATTCGATTAAATAAACTTTAGAAATTGTTTCCATATATTCACAAAAATTATATTCTTTTCGCTATAAAAATACAACTGGTGAAATCAGTAACT